AAGAGAAGACTCGACCATAAGCATTGCCAAGTCAGTGGCCTTACAAACACCGTATCCACCCTCAAAGGGGGACCCCAATTTGGGCCCCTCCCAAAGCTGACAGGACTCTGAGGGCTTTTTGGGAGACTGCTGCATTATTTCCTGAAACAACTATGAAAAGCAGAAATTAAAATTTAAAAAGAAAACCTAAAGCCTTGTAAAGGATTTATGGGTAGATCAACCTCTGATGTCATTTAAGTTGCAACCAAATTCCTTGAGGAATTAAAGGCAACTGTCCTCATCTTACAGATCTTTGCAAATCTAAAACTGCCACTAAAGAGGCAATTCAAAATTTACCTATTCCTTTTTACCAATTCCCAAACTTTCCCTATTTATCTTAAAAGGCTTGTAACTTGCATTCTTTCTCTGTGCCTCTAAGCTGTAAATGTTAAAGTACAAACTTCAGAGAGGTAATGCTTAACCGAAAAAAAATCAAAAGAGGGAAAGGTCATTTGAAACTTAGTTTTAGACATCTGTGCAGGCAGCCTTTACTTATTCCATCTTCCAGAAAAACAACTTAGATCCAACTTCTTTTGTAACTAGTAAAACAGAATCTATGAGGTCTCAGTTCATGTCTGTCTATATGTTTATGTGGGTATATGTATCTTATGTGATATTTTCCTACCACTGATGGTACCACAAAAAATAATTAGTAAAAAGGCTCTTTTTAATTGGCTTAAATAAAACAAAGTTCTTATATAAATGAAATTCTCAGAAATAAAACAGAAACTAACCCAAATGAATTTCAGATTCATGTGATATCGGAAAATATAAAAGCTAGTTTAAGGTTGTTGGTTTAATTGAAATAGGCATGTCTTTAGAGTTATCAGTATTAAATAAAACTTTTATCCTACCTGAATTTACTAACCAAATTAATTCATGTTATCTCTATTACAAAAATTGTCAGCCAGAAAAGTAACTCAGAATAATGACTGACATTGTCCGATGTCTAATGAAGTGTTTCTGGGTAGTCCTTGTAAGAATAATTTAAATAAATAGATGTAAGTAGGATAAAAACTTTTTAGGAAAACTTTTTAATCTCCCTAAGTGTTTTTGATAACCTGAAACCTTAAAGTTTTGCTAAGTTAAATGATGAGTTAAGTTAAATTCTTTGAATAACCAGATCATTTCCAAACAAGCTAAAATACTGAAACACTAATTATTGAAGACAGGTTTGTCCACTTCCACTTCCTTTTACAGAAAAACTAAAGATATTTGGGTTTATTAATAAACAAGTCCCGTGACATGCTGAGAAATTTACTATGAGAAAACACGCATTTCTAGAAATTATAAAAAATAGTTACAGATTTACAGATAAAAATATTTACAAGCCACAGAATGCTAATGTAAAAGATAGTTCACAATTGTTTACTTATTTATTTTCACTAAAAATTAAAGCTTTTTAGGGTTAAAATGTCTAATATATGGAGTTAAAACTACTAGAAATTATAAGAGAAACAACTCTGGATGCAAGGAAAATAGATGTGTTTTGGGGTAAAAAAAGGTATAGATATGGAGATTCATTTTTGTTAGGGAAAAAGAAAATAATTTTCTCCTAAAATAAAGCTGCCTGTTTCAAAATGCAAACGAGAAAAAGGACAAACAACGGACATAGAAATTTGAAAACAGAGAGAGAGAGACAAGAGAGAGGGAGAGTATTTTTTTATGGTCAAGTTAGCTAAAAATTGAATTGTTATCTTTATAAATGTTTTTAAATTAAGCTTTAATACCAAGAGTGTACTTATGTAACACTAAAACAGCTTTCTTTTATATGCTAAAATGACAAATTTTCCTTGGACAATTGATCTGTTCTTGATAAGATATTCTGTAAGTTTTTTCTTTACCATTTCAGTAATCCACTTAGAAAGCAAAACTTTGATAAAAAAGTATTTTATCAAAATGATTTCCTGTGTTTCATGTTATCTTTATCATCTGGTCTTTGATTACTTAAGTAAACCAAGTCTTCTCAATATTAAAAGAGTTGTTTTGCTCAGAACAATGTAACCTTCTATATATGCCTTTGAAATCTTTTGTCACTTAATTAAATGTATCATTAAATATTGTTTCATACTTATCTGTGATTTTATTTAGTCAAGTGTCCAAACCATTTGATATTTTTGACAAACTTCCCAAAATTAAGATTCTAAATAATGTCTTTTTGACCTGGACATAACTTTGGGATGTTCCAGAGGGCCCCTGAAACATCTCAAAAGATTTGTTCTCTCTCCTCATGAAAGGGGGGACGTTAGGCTCATTAGGCTTATTTGACAGGTTATATGGGAAATACTGCCAAATAAAAAGTAATACTGAGGGGCTTCCCTGGTGGCGCAGTGGTTGAGAATCTGCCTGCCAATGCAGGGGACACGGGTTCGAGCCCTGGTGTGGGAAGATCCCACATGCCGCGGAGCAACTAGGCCCGTGCGCCACAACTACTGAGCCTGCGAGTCTGGAGCTTGTGTTCTGCAACAAGAGAGGCCGCGACAGTGAGAGGCCCGTGCACCGCGATGAAGAGTGGCCCCCAATTGCCGCAACTAGAGAAAGCCCTCACACAGAAACGAAGACCCAACACAGCCAAAAATAAATAAATAAATTTATTTTTTTAAAAAAAGTAATACTGAGCTTTCTTTATGCTGTACTTGTATGGGTATATGTTATAAGTGTTCCTGAATTGTATAAAATTCCTAGAAATCTGATATGTCCTGGTATAATGTTATCAGTCATAATTCTATTTATTATCTTAAAATGTTGTATGTTACAAAAAATAACCACATTCCCTTGCCAATTCCATTACAGTGAACTCTCATCAGATTTTTACTAATGAGCAGTTTTGAATCCTTTGTCATTTACAGTTATCGTTTTACTCTAATGTTTTTTCAGAAGTGTACGTGCAAAAGTACTTCATCTTCAAGGAGATTCCAGGAAAGGCCTTTTGACAAGTACAGGTTTCTGTACTTGTCAGAATGCTAGAGACCCCCTGGTCTGTTAACCCCTCTCTCTGGTTAACAATCCCAAACTTGGGGAAATTTGCATCTAAGCTCCGCCTAGGCAAAGAAAACACCCAAGGCAAGAGAAACACTGTTGCGTGGTCTATTCACCCTTAAGACTTTACTTGCCGCCACGGCTGGCACCTTTCCAGTCCTGAGCCACAGGTTCGGATGGGAATTACCAGGAAGCATTCAGGATTCAGGGTTTGCTTCCTTTGGTGGGCTGTCCCTCCCCGGTTAGGAGTAAACGTAAATGAGGCTACGATCAGGAACCCCTCATTAACTCTTGAAAGTACTGCAGAATCCACTATTAAGACAACAGTTGCGCAACAAAGATCCTTTGACTCTCTGGCCAAAGTTGTTTTTGATAAGAGGACAGCCCTGGATTAGCTTTTAGCTTGAGCCAGGAGGTGTCTGTGCCGTGGCCAATACCGCCTGCTACACCTGGATTAACACTTCTGGAGAAGCTGACACTCACGTACACAAGATCAAGCAACTTGGCTTAAAAAGATGACTCCATCAATGGGTCTTTCTATGACTTATTTGACCTCAATTGGTTCGGGTCTTGACCATGACTCCAAAGTGCACTCCAAATACTGGGGATTATCTTGCTTATAACAATCATAGTAGTTTCCCTGGTGAATTGTGTTTTCCCAAGAGCTTTAAATCCAAGTTCTCAGCCACTAACCACCAAGTAAATGACGTCCCTAATACAAGAACTCCAGAAAAGGAACAACGAGAGTGACCAACTTAGATACTGTGAACCCGAAGCCGTGAATGTCCCGGGATTAAACCAAACAGCATGCCCTGTCGATACCACACAGAGGATCAGATAAAACCACGAGCGCTTCAGAGCAGTAGCTGAGAGTGGCGCTCATGCCTTACATTTTGATCACATCTCTCAGAGAAGCTGAGAGTCTGAGCAAAAGGGGAAAATTGTTAAAAAAAGAGACAATAGGCCCAAGATGGAATCACTTGTGCTAGGACCACGTCACCAGACTGAATCTTAATACTTAACCTAACTGAAGTTTCAGCCTCTCCCAGGACCGTCACCTTTAACCAGTCAACTTGGAATTCCCTGGTCAACGCTAGTGAGTAAACCTCCTGCCCTCACAGACCCCATCTTTTCCCCTTAGGAGGACAACCTCCACTGAAACAAGACATTCTTTGGGGAAAATCTCCTTTTTCTGCCCCCTTTCTCCCTTTGAAAACCTCTTCTTTTAAACAGCGTGGCAGATGGGATGCTGCCCGCTTCATGGATCACTGCACAAAGCTAATTAGATCTTTAAATCTGCTCAGTTAAACTTTGTTCTTTAACACACCTAAGGATGTCCTCCAGAGCTGCACTTCAGCACCAGGGAGCAGCCCGATGGGTTCTGAGACAACCTATGGCTCCTTCAGAGACTGGATTAGCATCAGGGTCATACGTTAACTGTTTAGAGCACAGACAGAGCTTGCTACAGCACCTAGCTTGATTCTATCGAGGAGGCCCACAGAATTATTCATGCACAACCCCCTGGGGAGAAGCCTTGCCACTGAGTTCCGGGACCACTACCCAAAGCCTCCTGCTTCTCCGATGCCAAGAGCTGGACTCCACCTTTGCACCACCTCTGAAGGTTCACTGTGATGCAAGATGCCATCAGGGCAGGGAACCTGCCACTCACTGTTCTCATTTAGTCCTCGGTGTTGAAGTGTAGAACCCACTCTCTCATTATTACAAATACAAGTGCCACTCTAGTCACATAATGACAACTCAGAGTCAATGAGACATCGAGCTGGAGATGGGCCCACTGTACGCCTTTGGACCTAAGTACAAGTCCTTATACAAGGACACTGCTTACTAATACTGAAAACAAAAATTACTGGCTCTGAAAGTAAGAGAAAGAATATTAAGTATGTCCTGTGAATAGACATTTTTATTAACAGCAACAATAAAAAAAACCCCAGAAAACTTCAAGGGAAGGAAGAGCTACTTACACCAGAATAGAAAGGCTCACCAGACACACATATCACATCCTGTTCCTGGATCATCAGAATATCTTTGGCCAGGTGTAGCCGCACTTTGAAAGGCTCCGGATTACCATCCTGCAGCAAACAAATCCCTGTCTTTGTCTTCAGACAGAAAAAAAAAGAAAGCAAAACAGAGAAAAGAATTATACTTAGTTTATAGATTATAATTTTATGGCTTATTTATAGCAAAACATGATGAATAACATCTGAAAGCTAGGGAAAATGCACTCTGATGAGTCTGAAACTTAATACAGTACACAGAAAAGCATAACCTTTTCACATAAAGTAGACCGCAGATAATAGAGATTATGTGAGAAAATCCCCACAAAGATTTGGAAAGTAAGGATTACAGTTTTACAGTATATTTTTAAAATAGTGAAAGTTTTGTTTAATACTTACAATCAATATAAATTTCATAATGGTTTTATTGAGATGCTATTCACACTGTATACAATTCAACCCTTTAAAGTGTTCAATGTTTTTAGTGTAGCAATATGCAGCCATTGCTATAACCAATTTTTGACCATTTTGATCACTCTGTAAAGAAACCTAATATTCCCATCTCTCCATCCTCCCACACCCAGTCCTAGGCAACCACTCATCTACTTACTGTCTTTCTCACAGAATTTTAAACCTGTAAAAACATACCTTCTTATCTTCTCTACCCTCCACTATTTGATCAACCCATTCGCCAGCACACATGCACCTTGTACAGAGGAGGGACCCAGGATAGAGAGGTGAAGAACTGCTTGAATTAACACAGCTAATTAAGACACAGCCTGGCTTGAGACCCAAGATTTTTGATTCCCTTTCCACTGTTTTTGCTTCACACATTTCCGGGAATTGTGGAAACAGCCTGTGAATATTTCCAAACTTGTACTGCATGGTTTTAAACCATCAGCTTAGTGATCACAGAGGGAGTCCACACATCTTGTCCCTCCTGAAGCAGGTCAGGGTTATAATATTTGCCAGATAAATGGAAATATTCTCCTTAGCAAGGGCACTTTATGGTCCCATTTATCAGAGATGCAAATGGAAATTCTTTTGAAACAGAATATAATCGCTGGCTGTTACTCTGAACTAAAAAGTCAACAAAAACAATGACTACCTTGGAAATTACATTTTCATTTAATAACCATTGAGCCATTCTTAATTTGGATAAAGGGAGAAGTACATAGAAATACATTTTTACCCTTACTATTTAATGAGCACAAAATCCCAGACAAATAATATGAGATTTTCTTTCCCTTGGAATATAAATTAGATGTGGATTGCTAGGGGTTTGTTTCTTTAAAAGAATGTTCCATGATGTTGATGAGCATATACTTAGATACCGCAACTTCCAGAGATAACGCTTTCTGTAAATTGCTTTTTCCCATGTGAAAATACATACCATTATACCCTCTATTATATACAATGTTAAATTGGTCTGTAATTATTTTGTAAGTGTTATAATATCTTTTAAGGAAAAACAAGCTTTTCCAGGAGCCATGATGGCATCAGTCCCTCCTCTGAGGCTATGCATAGCTGGGGCCCCTAAGTCGCATCCTTTAATCTACCGCAGAGCTTAACTCAAGTGCGTGTGTCTAAAAGACAAAAGAATGTCAGCAAAAGCAAATTATATTTTCCTTAATACAGACACAATTTTTGTACATTTTTCACCTGGAAAAGTCTCTCATGCTTACAAGGTGATCTTGGCCAGGGGCCAACATCGGGACTTCTGAGATGCAGGGGAGAGAGGGGCAGGAGATAATATCAAAGCTAAGGGAACAAAATTGGGCACATTTGCTGATTTTTAGATGTACAGTACATTCCGAGCCATTTTTCCCCCAGAAATGTAATGGAATAGCTGGCAATCACAAATAAAGCCCTGTCTCAACTTGTGGATGAAAGAGGGGCTTTTCCCTGAGATCCCATAAATACATTATTGTTACACATCAAAGAGATCACAAAGATCGCCAGGGAAAGTTTGAGGAACTAAAACACAGCTATGAGGTTTCTCTCATCACATTTCTGATATGGTCAAAGCTCCACTCACTCAAGTAATGTGTGAAATGTCCCCTAACTATTAGATGGTTGTCTGGAAAACAGAACACAGACTTGGAGCCCATGCTTGACTCTTCAGAGGACAAGAGTGAAGGAAAATAAAGAATAAGGCAACTTTTTGTTAGAATTATATGTATATGTATATGTGTATATATATATATATATATATATATATATACACACCAATACATAGCTGTTTGGAGAAAATAACAAACTGAGAGATAATGAAGCTAACAACACATTCACATTAAAATACATTTTCCAGGCATTACAGATGTTACATTTATTCTATTACGAAAATTCAGCCTATGGACATGAAAATACATTAAAAATCCGACACACACATCCACTTTGCCAATACTGTGTAACATTAACAGTGAGTCAGACATGAATTAGACAATCATCTTTGGCCTCAGCGTATTCCTACTTCTAAAAATGTACGTGTATAAATAACATGCAGTATGATATTGGAGCATTTGATACAGGAGCAACATAGAGAAGGGACTTAACGATTCATGAGAGAAGGGGCATTAGAGGAGGCTCTGTAGATAGAAAAATGTGTGGCTTGTCTTGAAAAGATAAATCAAGAAAACAATAATTAGAGAAGGCAAAAGTAATTTCATCCAGAAGGGAAAAACCTGAGTGAACATCCAGAAGCATGAGAATGCATGCTCCCCGATGATGGAGAACGCAGCCCCGAGGCCAAGCACGTGGTATGTGGGAGGGGCCGCGGCAGAAGGGCAGGGGGCGGGGCGGTCAGGCCCCTGTATGGTGTGCCCAGCCTGTGAACAGGCGGGAGGGGCCATGGAGGAACCTAAGAGCAGTGAAATAACATAAACGTTTAGAGTTAGGTCTTATGAATGTATTTCTTACAGCAGAGAAGAAGATGGATGGGGGTTGGGGAAGTGAGAACATAGTTACTGTTGCAGAAACATAAACCTTGCGCAGGAAACTCTGGGGATGGGAAGCAACTGGCTCAGACCCGGAGCTGCTACAGTAGCTGGAAGAAGAGGGGTAAAGTCCATTTGGGGCGCCCCCCAGCTCAGAGCAGCACCGCTGGACTGGCATCACCACTGTGAAGGCGGGCTGTGCGCCCTGAAGTATTAATTCCCTTGGCTCTGATAACCCAGGGCAGCAGAGGCGCAGAGATGGGTGAGTCAGGATTTGAACCCGGGCTGCCCGGCTCCAGGCTCCAGGCTCTTATCCCCTGGTCCTGGTCCCCTCATGCAGAGGTCTTTGAGGGGATGCCTCCCCCAGTCTTCCCATACACGAGGACAAGGCTATCCGTGTCTTTCACCAGGTAGCACTTTGGTTACCAAGCATCTCCTTATGGGAGTGCAGAGAGTTCTGAGAAGGACACCATCTTGAACCAGCCATTCTTCATGGATCAGAGCGATGGCCAGTGAGGGAAAAATGAGACAGAAACCACTCTGGGCCTGACGGATGCTTTTCCTGCCAAAGCTAGGCTGCTGAGGGAGCACAGGACACTAGCGGATACCGGGAGAGGCTTGACCCACATGGGCTCATCCCCCATGGACTGCTACAGGGGTGAGAACGGGCAACAGGACACTGAGTGTGGCCACCGGGGCGGCACAAACTAAAACACTGAGGGATGCAAAGTCTTTACAGATCTGTGGACCCAGATTGTTCAAAAAATAAAAAAATCATTCAAATAATGATCAGTCCCACATTTTAGTATAAACTTAAGACCTGCACTCAGCTTCTTTTTCTTTACTAACATAACAGTCATTTGTCTTCAGACTTTTTGAACTGGGGATGCATCACGCATGAGTGAGGAAATGCATGTGCTACATATAACATACAAATATATTACACAATTATAAAACATACGTAAAACTTGAAAAGTGATAAATACATTCAAAGGTGGTTTTCCTGTCCCTGATGGATGATCCTACGTTGCAGCTGGATTTTGCAAAACCCACACTGAAGACTATTTGCTTAGAGGAATATTAAAAGGCAATACCTCTTAATTACTTAAAAGGCAATATGTTTAAACATCTAGTCATTGACTTGTTTTCTGTGAATCAATGAAGTGTGTTCAAGAATTTACATGGATTTACTCTGTTTTAAAAACAAACCTCACATGTAAACTTATGAAGAATGTATGCTTTGCAGAAACCAAGTACCTTTGGAAGTTTGAAAAGTAGACTGTCAGCCACTTTCTACTTGAAAGTTAAGACCTCTTTAATTTAGGTTCTAGTCCTTGAAAGAACACAAATTGTGTTTTCATGGAACTTTAATATCTGTGTTCCTTTAACCCTGAAGTGTGGAATTTGCAATATCAGATATAATAAACTGCAAGAAACTAGGCAGACACCATTCTATGCACGACAGTCTTGTAGGAATCCTCATAGTTCTGTATTTTGGTTGCCAAATCTAATTTAACTTGTCCTGTAAGCCTCTAGTTGCAAGTGATACGTAGTTCCTTATCCTGTACCATCTTGTAGTAGCAGTGCACTAATGTTGTTTCACACAAGATGTTTCAAACTGCGTTTTACCCTTTCCTTTGCCTGCTGGGATGGTGTCTTACCTGGCCTCCTCCTTAGCTAAATTCCAGCCACTTTTCAAGCACTTGTACAAAACTTGTATCTCCTTGCAATCTTCAGAGACCGTTCCATCCAAAGATGAGTCCTTAACATTTGGAACTCAGGGCTTTCATTGAATAAACACATTCACCTAACAGTTAATCGTGTATTTAGGCATGACATGTAGTGACTTCCATGACATTTAGCTCCATGTCACGTCATCTGACTTCACCTTATATGCTGTTATCTAAAGAAGCTCTTCATAAGTTATGACTCTTTTCATTTGTAAGGATTATTCATCTATAGGACCTAGTACAGTCTTTTATTCATACTGGGATTTTCAATATTTGTTGAATGAATCATAGTCACAGATTATATGTTATTATATGAGACTAAATTATAAGTGTGCATGAATTATTAAACTATTAAATATGTTATAGAGAAATATGTATTTTCATACTTAACACCTAGATGTGATCCTATTTTAAAGAATGTGGATATGAAAGTGAACAATGAGGAAAACCCACACTAAAGATAGAATATTGGTTTACTGGAACACATAGGTTTTTGGGGTTTTTCTGTGGTACGCGGGCCTCTCACTGCTGTGGCCTCTCCCGTTGTGGAGCACAGGCTCCGGACGCGCAGGCTCAGCGGCCATGGCCCAGCCGCTCGGCGGCATGGGGGATCTTCCCGGACCGGGGCACGAACCCGTGTCCCCTGCATCAGCAGGCGGACTCCCAACCACTGCGCCACGAGGGAAGCCCTTGACGACACTTTTAAAGGTGGAGAAGTCAGTACTTTTGCCTGGGTATGCACACACCTTTTCTTCTACAATGTGGGTTTTGCATTTGTCCTGATTGTATTCTCTCTCTTCATTTTTGTTTCTTGTCATACTTTTGAATCCCAATTACTTTAAAATAATTACAACATTTTCTTTTTAAAAGAAGAATTTTTTAAACAATAAATAACCCTCCTTTAAAAAAAAGTCTGTATTAGATAATTAAGATGTTTAAATGAAACTTATCTAGCCACACTTCTATTCCTTCACAAAGAAGAGACTTCTTGGCATCTGCGTGGTAATATTCTATCTGGATCTGTCTGACGGACGTGGATATCAAATTTTCATCCTTAGTAGTTTATTATCAGTCAAGAGAAAGTCAAGAGAAAACAAGTTTCATTTAATGTATCTTTGAAATAATTTTCAGCAATGTAGTACTTAAGAAAGAGCCCCAAAATCAGACTCAGGCATTCCAAGCTATACATGATGGTTTTGCTTTTACCTAATTCATTAAATGTCACTCAGCATTCTCGTGAAACCTCTCCATTTGCTCATCTGCAAAGCGGCAGAGTTAAGCTAAATTGTCTTTAAGGTGCAGGTCCACTGAAACGTTCTAAGACTGTCAATTTCTGGCAAACTCTTTGATTCCGGTCCATCTTCAGGGCGATTCGATCATCCTCGGGGTACCATAGAGTCCTGCATCACTTCCGGTCCAGCCAGCATGTGGCAGACACACGGGAACTGCTCTGACAGTTCTGAGAAGGTCTGCTCCACGCTGGCAGCATTGAAATGGTGAGATCCTCAAGGGATCATTGCCGGAGAGCAAAGAACATCTATTACAGAAGTAAGGGTAAGAGGACCTCGACGGCATCACCATTATAAAAAACAGCTGAACCTTGGACAGAATTTGATGTATGTTTCAAATCAATGAATCAAAACATTTTGTGTAAGAAACGGTCTGGGAAATCAATCTTATACAGCCTCTCACGTCCAAGGTGAACCATGTGTTAGAAACATTGGCCACTGTCCAGTCTCTACCACATGCGTCTCCGATGTGTGTCACGTTGTCTCATTCACACAAATATCCATTCAGATTGATGGGTGCTTTACCACCCAAAACGTAAGATAAAACTTTAAAAGAAACTGTAGGTTTACTACATTCATACAAAATGCCCAGTATGATAACACGTACTGTATTTACAACCAGAAATGACACACTTAAAATGTATGCTTCTAAGTGTAAGCTCGGAAAACAGTAATTTTTTTTTTTTTAAGTATGAACCTTTGAAAGGGGCTGAATTAAAAGATGAATAAGTTACACATTCTGACCTTATAATATTCAGGGTAGCATGTGAGAGAGGTTTGTAAACAAATAGCTATAATATAATATAATTTGAAAAGTGCTAGCATGTATAAAGGATTTTAAAAAGTATTACCATACTTAAACTTTGAAAATAAAAAAATAAAAAATAAGCATAAGTATTGAAGGAATGAAAGTAATTTATTATTTTTTCTGAACAACCTAAAATTGAACCTACTGTGACAAATATTTTTTTAAAAAAGATATTTTTGCAAGAAATATAATACATGCCATTTCACTAAAAGAACAATTTTGACAAATGTTAATACTGAAGATTTTTTTAAACTTTATTATAGGTAATCTAGTTATGGTTGTTTCTTTCTTGGGTTATTTATACATACTAAACTATTTTAAACCTTTTAAGCAAATATGAAATATTTTAACACATGAATATTTGCATTTTGCCTGAAGAATGAAAAGACAATGCTTTGAGTGTTGCATGGAAAGATAATCTTTCTTCCTAAAATAGAAGAGCTGCATTCCTGGAGCCCCAAGTCCATGCACTGTTGACTGCACACTTGAATGGATGGCCTTTAACATCCTTCAAGAGCAATGAATGCATCACTTCCGCTCACACCGAATGTGATGACAGCTCTACAGAGAGTCGCCATACATCAATACTTAATACTGAAATACTTAAAGAGTATGGGAATCATAAAATCAAAGTCTTTTAGTGCTGAAAGGGACCTTAGATGTCTTCTAATTTATAACCATTTATGTGAAAAGAATTAGTTCCAGCTCTTTCACTAGCTGAAGCCTTCAGCGTATAGTTTGTGGGGAGAGACAATTCAGTCCAATGAAATGTGCGCCAGTCTTCTTGAAGGAAGACTGAAATCCCGGGGCTTCCCCAGGCCTGTGAGGCCTTTCCAGTCTTGCAGAGACAGCTCGTGCTCTGGAAACACCGTGGGCCCATCACCCGTCCCTCTGTGGAAAGCCATTTTCCACGTAAATACGTAAGGGAGGGCCCAGCGTTCCCTGTCTATCACCTGTTTCCCCTCATCAAAAACGGAAGGCATGCGACCTACCTCCTCACAGGTAGTCCTGAAATCCATGTGCTGCGGCACCGCAGAGGATGTCGTCTGAAAAGACAGAGAAAGGCCATCAAGCACAGCATCGAGGGGCAGAGAGGAGGACGTAACGAAGTACAATAAATTAGGCAGCGGAGCCGGCAGGCAAACTGTTAACAGCCACCTGTAAGGACAAGAGCTCCCAGGGGACAATGAAGAGACGGCAGGAGGAGATGAAACGTCTTCAGCTCCAGCTTCTGTGAAGGATAACCCTACGGCCATGGTTCCCCGGGCGAGGATGTGCATTTCCAGGCCCTTCTCCCTCCACTCAGCATCCGGATGGGACCCAGGGCAGGATCAGCCTGCCGCTCAGGGGCTGGCTCATCCCTGCACCCACTGTGAAACCCCACTTGGCAACTGGGGAAGAAACTTCAAAAGGAGTAATTAAAAGTTGCCTTTCATGTGGTTATCTCTCGATAAAAGGTTGACTAATCTTTCTCCTTTTAATTAAAAAGCTACATGCATGAATAATTCTCCCCAGAACTTAAAATGTAATTCACAAACAGAGTGATCTAAGAAAGCAAGCTATTTATCAGGGTGAATAATATAAAGATAAATCAACGTATGAAATACCTAATACAGATTCATTTAGTGGTCACTGTAATTTCTAAATGATAGGCATAGACTTAAATGCACATAAATGCATATGTCCTCTTTGATTTTAAATGCTTTTGGAGAGTTTTGTTTTAATTATGTGATGAACTTAATAAAACTAAGGGTTGTCATAGAAAATTGACATCCTGTCAGTATAAAAACGCGGAGCCCAAATCTAACAGTTTAGGTGAATGAGACGCCCAAGTAAAATGAATGGTGAATTCCGAAATAGGAGACTTTACACACCTCAAACAACTGCTCCTCTCAGCTTTGGGGACAGTAAACTATCTTGTCCTCTTTGTCATTTTCTGTTGTGTGAGACTGATGAACACTTGATCAAGGGTGAGTGGAATGGAGTATGTTGTCACTGGATTATTACCGTTGCCTTTGAAGGAAAAGAGATTGACCATTTTCGGTAGTAACTGAACAAGCCACATAATACACTGTTTTCCATAAATAAGTTGTGGGCTGTGAGCCCGCTTTGGTGTGACTGGAAAGCATACGGAGGCTGATTTTGGTAAAGTTAGGGAAGAACAAATCATCAGCAAATAAAAGGGCAATTTGATGCTGAAATTATAACCTGATGATGCGAACTATTTATTTCGTGTCCGTGAGAAATTTGCCATTAGTTTAACTATTATTTTTCAAAATTGCTCTTAAGATTGTATTTGAAAGAACTGCAAACATCTACTTATCGCCAGCTCTGACATGAAGCTATTCCTTTTCTATAAAAGTAGGAGAATTGCAGTATTTATTGATTACATAAAAACACGGTGTCTCTAGATCAATTTCCTGCTACTAAATGCAACCAGAGAAAACAGCCATGAAGGCATTTAACCACATCTAAACGCAGTCTCTATTTGAGTAGGGGGTGTATCCATGCCTTCTACCATTTTTAACACATCTTCCTTGTTTTCTTAATTTTCCATTGGCTTTCATGAAAATATCTGGTAATAATATCAGGTATTTATTCAAAAAAGAATTAATGTAATATGCAAAGCAATTTAATTATTAGGTAACATAAATTTCATAGCTATCATAAAACTGTTTTCAGTGATTATAAATTTTAAAACTGGAATAAAAGTTGTATTTTATATGTTTAAAAATTTCTGAGACCTTTTCTGTACAAAGTTTTATGTTAGAGTGGTTTTAATTTACAGAAATGTTGTGAAAATAGCACAGAGGGTTCCCACATACCCCACATGCCTTTCCCTCTATGATTCACATCTTACATTTATGCACACCATGCCTTAGTATGGCATATGGTGTGTAACGCTGTTACAGCTAATGAACCAGGACTGTGATCTTATTGTTAAGGCCCTACTTCTTTGAAATTTCCTTGTTTTCACCCCCCAGTGTCCTCTGTAGTTTCCAGGATCCCATCCCAGATGCCACATTATATTTAATCACCGTGTCTCATCACGCTCCTCTTAGCTATGACCATTTCTCAGACTTTCCTTTTTTTTAATGACTTTGGCAGTTTTGAGGATTATTGGTACTTGGTAGAATGTTCTTCCGTTGGGATTATTCTGACGTTTTTCTCATGACTGTAGTGGGGTCATGGGTTCTGGAGAGGAAGACCAGAGATAAATGCCACTTGACCACCTCACGTCAGAGAATCACAGTCAGCACGCCTTATCCCTGCTGCTGAGGCTGACCTTGATGGTCTGGCTGAGATGACGTTTATCAGGTTTCTCACCATAAGTTCCTCTCGGTCCCGCTCTCCACACTGCACTCTCTAGAGACAAGTCACTATAAACAGCCCACGCTTAAAGGGTGGGGAGTTGTGCTTCTCCTCCTTGAGGGTTGAGTATCTACAGGGATTATTTGGAATTGCTCTAGACAGGAGATGCATCTATTCTTCTCCATTTATTTATTTATCCAATCATTTACTTAGGGCCTCTCAGCTGACAGAGCAAGGAATATATGTGCATATGATAACCCGTGTTGGAATGCACACATTTATAAAGATTTGTTAAGCTAACCACGAGCTCTTAGTGATGTTGCGTCTCTAACACATGACTACATGGACCTTCCTAATTTCTCCCCTTGTCTGTCTGTAGATTCCCACTCCCGCAGGGACCCACCGTTCACTTACCTAGTTGTTCAGCCCCAGCGTACAGGGACAGCCACACAGGATCTGTTAACACATATCCCTGTGGGAAACAATTTTATCCACTAGAGCACAGTTTATTTTGCCTTTAATACTACAAGCTGCACTCATTTCCAAAATGATGAGTGTGAACCCCTTTTCTCCTCCCCCATTTCAGTGAGATTATTTCAGACCTTGTATTACAGTAGATTCTTTGCCATAATAGGGTTTCCTGATCCCCTAAGAAGTTTTTAAAAATTTTCACACATCAAGTTGACTCTGCGCTTTAAATTTCCATGGGATTTGACAAATGCACAGTGTCATGCACCCACCACTACAGTATCACACAGATCACTTCACAGACCTGAAGAATCCCCTGTGCTCCACCTGTGCGATCTTCCTTCCCTCCCTGTGAACACCTGGTCAACCAAGGATCTTTTTACTGTCTCTACAGTTGTGATTTTTCCAGAATGTCATATAATTGGCATCACACAGGACAGAGTCTTTTCAGACTGTCTTTTAAAATTTAGAAATATGCATTTAAGGTGTGTCCATGTAATTTCATGGCTCAATAGGTCATTTATTTTTATCGGGATAAAATTCCATTGTTAGGAAGCACCACAATTACACTTATCCAGTCAAAATTACGCTAGCCCTCCACCTTAAACAGAACCATGACTAGCTGAGGTGCTTGCTGAGGGCAAAGGTAGCAGAAGGTAGTTTTCAATACCAGTTACAACATGTGTCCAGCTGTAGAAATGAGAACTGTAATTGTATGAGGATTTCTTCCTTATTTTATTATAAATATGATGATGAAAGTCTTTGTTTGTTCCTTCTTGTATCCTCTTATGATCTAACATTAAGTTTTATTAATAATGTAGACTTTTATGTCACAGCATTCAAGTCACAGTACATCAAGGAGAGGAGTGAACGTCACTTCAGGACTTAGTGTTCCCTTCGGAGGAAATGATTCCTGTTATTCTGGGTTGCATGCAGGGTACTTGTTTCATCTCGGTTGGAAGTAAGACTTTACCGTCCTTATTGGAGGGTTAAGGAGAAGAGTGTGAATGTCAAGTTGACAAGGGTGAACTGTGATGGTTAGTTTTCATGTGCTGACCTGATTAGGCCAGTTATTCAACCCGGCACCAAGTAATCGAATCAAACACTAATGTAGGTACTTCGGTGAGATGTTCTGTAGCTATGGCTAACATCTACAAACAGTTGACTTTAAGTAAATGAGATTATTCTCCATAACGTGGGGAGCAGTGGGCTCATGCCATCAGCTGAAAGGCCTTAAAAGCAAACTGGGACATGTCTCTGACGATGGAATTCTGCTTCAAGATGGGAGCACCAAGTCCCTCCCATCCTACAGACTCTGGACTTCCAGGCCCCACGATGGTGGCAGCCAGCTCTTTGAAATGAATCTCTTAACACATGTATGTGGATATATGGGTATCCGACTGGTTATGTTCATCTGGAGAATCCCAACTGATACAGCTGTGTATGCCACTAGATTCTATGGTTTCATTAGGCAGTATTAGTGTGACAATAACTGAATGAAACAGCATGTTTCTAAGTATTTCTGAAAATACATTGAGTACAGCTAATCAGTTCCCGCAAGCCCAATGACATAAGCTCCAGGATATACTTTACACTAGGTATTTCTAAGCTACGCAATAAGAACTACGAGAAAAGAACTTGATTTTTCGCAATTGGTTTATTAACAAGATAAATTAACTAATACCTTCATGGAAAATTACAAAGAATTCCTTTTTCCCCACAAAACAAAAAATGTCTTTTGTTTTTCCTAGGGGTACATTCATTGCAAAAAATGAAGTTCTTTTCTCATAGTTCTTATTGCATAACTTAGAAATTAAAAAAACTGAAATCTTTAGGGCTTTCTCTACATGATTGTTTTTAAATAATTAATCTGTATTAAAATGTAAAGCAATAACAAATATACAATTCCAAAAGCTTTCATCTCTATATCCAAGGATAAGGAAAAATAGCTTACTGATTTATTAGTATTTAGTATAAGTCTTATCAGGGAAAAAATAAAACTTTTATGAAAATGAATTTCTTAAAATGATTCTTAGAAAACTTCATCACTTAAAATATGGAGATGAGAAAAGTAATGCATAAGTAGCTTGGGTGGATAAGGATAAAATTCACTTTAATGTTTACAGAATCACAATATATAAATGTGACCTATCACGTTCCTGATCAATTTAGAATCCCCTTGACCAGCTCAGGGAGAAGCCGCACAGCATGGAAAAGTCCAAGCCTAAGGAAACCTGTTCCTACCATTATGACACATGTGACCCA